CAACTCTTAGATGAGTTATTGCATGGGGGTTTCCTGTTCTGTGCATTGTTCCTTCATATCCTTGGCACTCGTTGTTCTCTGGTGTGGTTTGCGGGAAAGCCTTCCGTGTGCAGCCCTCTGGTACCTGTCACTCTGATCACCTGGTTGTGATGATGCAATCAGGAAAGGGGGACATGTAGTTCATTCTGAGGGCATGACCACTGGGAGAAGGCCCTTTTGGAACATCTGCTTTGCAGCAGACGTTGGCTAGGGGAGTTGCTGCCACGTGGGATGGGAAAGCTGGAAACTTTTGGGTGGGCTGGCCCCAAGAGGGCATTATTATGCCCACTCACAACTAGACTTCTGGTGGCAGTGTGCTTTAGGCCTTTGTAAAACTGCAAGCATTGTGCGCTTGGTCTGTCTTAGGAGACGGCCCTTCTGGGAACCGGAAGTATGGGTGGCACTCTGGGCTGCTGTTCTAAACACAGAATAGATACTACCATTGAAATGGAAGAAAAAGAGCACTTAGAAGTGGTTACTGGGGTTCCTTCTCATTCTCGCCTGTATTTTAGTGCCTAGCACAGGACCAATTAATAAGAATTCTCATGCTTTAGGAATGGAATTCATCTGTTACTGTCTTTCATGTCACCACTTCTAATGGTGTATATTAATTTGAAGTTTTAAAATACATATAAGTGGATATATAAATGGCACTTATTTAGGTAGTGGTTATACCACCCTCGTGACTCCAGAGGTTGCATGGGAATCTCACAAAATCCAGAGTGGCATTTAGATCACTGAAACATTAAATGTGTGATGAATCAATCCTAAGTGTACATTCCATTCTTAAAGAAATACAGAAAATATTCTTGTACTTCTTTGTTTAAAGCATAACATTAAAATCAAAGCTGCTAAAACTTCGTAATGGTCTTTTATACAAAAGTCTGATTATGAAACAGTTTGAAAACTTATTTGAATTAAATACTGTAGTCTGTTGTTCTTCATCATTAGTACCCTCTTGTCAGTAGAAAACATTGGGTAACCTTGTCTTTAATGATATTGTGCTTTTTTTTTTTTGGTACCAGTAATTGAACTCAGGACCTTGTGCTTGCCAGGCAGGCACTTGTGCCTCTGAGCTATTTCCCCACCCCAATAGTATGCATTTTGATATATAGGTGTAAGTGATAAAT